TAAGGGAATTAAACGAGGACTAGCCACATTGCTAGTATCAGCAGCAAGGACAGTACTAAGAAAGGCAGGCTCCGAGTCAAAAATATGAGGTCCAAGAGGGAGATCATAGCTTTTGGTAGCCAGAAGATCAGCAACACGATTTTGCTCACGGTAGATATGGGTAAGAGAGCAAGTCCAGTCATCATGAAGCTTCAGATGATAGCAGTTTAGAAGACTAAAAAGAGGATGATCAGACATAGGAGCATTCTGAAGGAGGGCCACCACAGAGCTAGCATCACATTCAACTTCCACAACTCTGAAGCCCATATTCCAAGCCAACTTGAGGCCCCAAAAAACACCCCACAGTTCGGCCTCTAGGATTGTCCCAACCCCAAGATTCACAGAAAAACCATTTAACCACTTGCCAGTGGAGTCTCTCAAGATACCACCAGCACCAATACACCCCGTTTCAGTTTTCCTGCTACCATCAGTATTGATTTTACAGATCCCATGCCTGGGAGCAATCCAATGTAACTGAACCAGTCGCATCACAACAGGATCAGGAGTATGATTACAAACAGTAAACCAGTCCATAGCATAATTCAAAATTATTTGACGAGAGTTAGGCGGAATCGAAAAATTCTGCTCAAAGACCACCTTACAACGCCATTTCCAAACAAACCAAATAAAAACTGTGAAGACCAACGACCAAGGAATACTATGAAAGGTTCTGTGGGATTTTAAGTTTTGAAGAAGCCAAGAATCAAAGTCAACCATTGGGAAATTAGGAGCCTCAACATCCTCCCAAAAATCCTTCCATAGTATGGCTTGCCAATTGAATCGGGGCAATATAAAAAATTCACAGCACAGCTTACCACCAAAACTCCATTTCTGATAAGCAACCCCTGAAGTCTCTAACTTTTCTTCAGTTTTCATCTTTTGTCAATCATGGAGTCACCAAGATTTGCCATCCTCATCTTCATTGCCCTCCCTTTTCTCATCTTCTACACCCCTGCCCATGCCGCTGACATTGCCACCCCCATCATCCAGACATCGGCCGGCCTAGCATTAAAATCCCGAAGAAGCGCCGACAAAAAAATAATCTTCCGATATGATGAAGATTCGGAAGAGGAAAGAGGAGCCTTCCCAAGAGCAGAGGAAGAGGAAGAGGAAGAATACGACCACGTGAGGATCGGGTTTGAAAGTTACCCTCAAATCTTCATCTACCCTCCCATCCCCTTCCACCAAACCCAAAGAATTATCATTCCAACTGTTTCTTCTCAAAACCCAAGTGGCTATTGGTATGCCATTGTGCTGCCTCTGCCTATTGTGATGTTACTTGTTGCAACCTCATCCATATTGACTTTTGTACTGACTTTACTGTTCATCGGTGGACCGAGGATGCTGAGAGGAAGACCAATCAGAGGACCAGCCATTTAGGTCTGGGTTGTCAGTATTCTTGTTCTAATGGTCTCTTTATAGGGGTTCTTGTTCTAGGCAGCGGATGATGAGGGTGTTTGTAGAAGTTGCCTCTGCCTCCTGTGATGTTACTTGTTGCAACCTCATCCGTATCAAACTTTTGTGGCCTACAGAATGGATATTCATTTTTCGTCTTCCTTTTGTGCCAGTTGTGCGCACACACACTTGCAAAGGATTTTGTTCTTTGTTTATTTTCCTGTATGGGTCTTTCTAATGTAATGAATTTTTAAATTCAGACAACCGTAATTTCTGCTTATTCTATTAGCTTCATTAATAACATATGAGTACATTTCAGTTTGTGCTTATTCTAATGCATATGCTTATTCTATTAGCTTCATTGCTGCATTGGCTGTTAAGTTGCCACATTAATAGCATATGAGTACATTTCAGTTTGTGTTCGATTAGGTGTTTTTGTTTGGATTTGTTCATTTTAATGCAGGGATATGTAGATTTTGGTCGATTTGATAAGTTCAACTACTTTGTTTCTGGTTCAGGACACGTTGACTTTGTTCAAGTGAGCTTCCTTTTTTTTTCGGTTGAAAATGATACTGCAGTTTGGTTTCTTTCATGTAATAGGAAAATGCAGTTGTCATATTTATCTCAATTTCTGAATGTATATAGGGGTTTTATAATGGCGACCTGGCGAAATGTGAGCACAGTTATGATAAATTGTGACGAACAGCTCAGGTTGTTTTATGCTGGAAAACTTCCAACCTCTAGAACCCTTATTTCTTTCTCCTGGAAGTTTTCATATATATATATATATACATATATATTAAATATTTGGCAATCACTGTCATTCCACTTCTCTCATAATTCTTTTTTTATCTTCTTTAAATTCAGGTAAACATCATATGTGGGAGTTGTTTAAATGGCCAATGCACAGGTTTGTGTACCTTTCACTTCTAGGTTATATGTGCAGTCACCATTTATACTAGGAATTGATATGCCCCCTTTTGAACTCTGTCTTTGGTTGAATGGACAGCAGATAATATAAGAAAATTCTATGGAGACCATTAGCAAATTGGAACCATTGCGATTAAAGGGGCCACTTGTTAGCAAGGTGGTGAGAATAATAAGTTTAGGTGGATAGGGAGAAGGCGATGAGTTTCAGGAATAAGATTTAAGATATGACTAGGTCACTAGAAGAATTTTTGCAAACTGTTTCATCAAGAAAGATAGAGCACTAGAGAAGGAGAGGAAGAGAGAAAGCGGGAGGAAACTACAAGTAACTCTGATATTTCATACCTAATTAAAACACTGATAGAAGGTCTCATTGCTTCATCCTGTTTTCTATCAAAAACTACTTACAATTTTTTTCCTCCTCAAGTTACATCTCTACCATTAATATTGTACTGCCTCTGACTCTGTCATTTTCAGTAATCTAAGATTGATTCTTACTATTGTTTGTTTTCAGGTGGACTTGGATGCATCTGCAATGTCACTTATGAGTCGAGTTGCAGGTCTTTTGAATAGTACCTTGATTTCCAATTTATGTTGCATTATAATGAAATGTGGTGTTAAATCTCTGTTAATTGAGTCAATCATTGCATGCTGGTGTTGGGATAACAGAAATGTTTCAATATAGGAGCCTTCATTTATTATGAGACACTCATGTTTCCCTGATTCTGTTGCAATTCCTAAATGTTTCAGAGTTTTTCTCGAACTAGCTATTCCATGCGAGAAACCAGGTCCACGAGTATTTAAGGGCTTCACTGTAGGTTTCCATCCACGGTCATGGGAACTTGTAAGAATTGTTTTATTCTCTCTGATGTACATTAATTTTCCCAGGCAAAAGTAAATTATTTTCTGAAGGAACCATCTTATGAACTTGCAGGTTTATGATGGCATGACTCAATTGGGCTATGAAAAGTCTCACCATGAGTAGTTTAAGTATAGGAATTATTATGAGTTGTTTTGCTTCATTTAACATCCCTTCCCCCTAACCCAAAAAAGAAAATGTAGTATCCATCAATCTAAATAAAGTTTGCATTTTGCAGCTTTGGGACTGAGCAGACACATGTAATGCTTTATATGACTGCAATTGCCTCCCTTTCCACTTTGGTGCAAAGACCTATTATTAAGGTACTCGAATTCCTTATACTTTGATGCATGGGAAACCATTTATCATTGAATAAGTTGGTCCAAGTATGTATCCTTTGTTTAATAAAATATATGCAGGTCTTACCAGAAAATGGTCTGGAGGTTAAGGTATCAGGGTCGGGAGCAACTGGGAGCCCACCTACAACTTTGTCACCCACAATGTTAAATGTTGATTGGAGATGTAAGGGTATCCTTTGCTGCAGTGGGCTTTGATATCCCTTACAATAAAGTCTTCTTAGTTTCTTTTTGTAATTTTCAGGTGAAACGGCTCATGATACTCCATATGAAGTTAATATCACTATCCCAGTAGAGGGTTACGAGCCCATCCAGTTTTTTCTTGCTAAACTGTGTGGTAGGCTCATACTGCCGTCACTATTTTTTGCAATTAATGAGTGGAAACTATTTTTTGCCAGAAAAGTAAGAAAATGGTAGGAGGGGGGGTGTAAGGAAAGGAGGAGATGGCCAATTTTCCCTTTTTAAGATTTGCACCAACTAAACGCACGATTGGGTTTAAGGGTCATAATTTAAAGTTCAGAGGCTAGTATGAGATATGACCTAAAGTTCAGGGCCTCTAGTGAAATTTACCCATTTAAAACTATTTTTTCTTTTTCAAATGAGTTACTGTACAGTGTAGTGAGAGTAAATTCTATTCACATCTCCTCTTCAGATTTTTATACAGCCTGGGATGTCATTGCCAAGCATGTTCTGGATTATCGTGAAGACACAGTTCTTGCTCACAGGCAAGCCTGCCTAAGTATGAAGTGCTAGTTTACATTGTGTGGGCCTGCTTGACTATAGCATAAAGCACCTATTTGTTGCCAGCACTACTTTTTTTGGAAAGTTAAGGCTGGAGGTTGAGTTCAACTCATAGAGGGATTTTTTGCAACCTAGACGAAATTGACCGGATATACCTGAGTGTTGGGAATGTTTGTGACAATATTACCAATTTCGGTGACTTCCTGTTTATTTTATTTATTTGAATGTTAAAACTGGTTATTGTTCTTTAGTTCTGCCTTTTTATTTTTGCAGATACATGGCTAAAATTTTGATAATCTTCAAGAGTTTTTCAATTATCTCTTGAAATTTAAAGATACTCAAGAGTCCTTTAATTTCTGCTTAATGGCAGCATTTACCTTCTTCTGAGGTGGGGTGCAATTGATGCTGAAGCATATCCTGAAGCCTCAAAGAATGTCTTGCAAATCTTGTGGAGTGTTAGCATCTCTGGTCACCCTGGTCTGGAGTCACAATGGGCCAAGGCAAGGGCCTCTTCCTTAGAGGCCTTAGCCCAATATGAGGTAAATTTTCAGAACGCCTGCAACCTATGTATTAACCTTGTCCCAGTTTTGATGACTGGTCTTTGCTCGACCAGGTTGTCATAAATCTTGTGATTCCTTTGCTTTGTTGGACACTTGTCTAATATTAGCATCTTCATTATATATTATCTTTTTGGCATACTCCTTACACGTTTTTCTTCATGTTATGTATATGTCTTCGTAGATATCACATATTGATCAGAACATTCAAGATTTCAAGAAAAGGACCACAGAGTTGCTTTTTTCTGAAACAAATATTACTGTACTGAGGGCCATGGAAGAACTTCAAGTCAAGATCATAACATATGAGCACTGTAAGCAATACATTTCTCTCTCTAATCCTTCTCTTATCAATTCTTTTCTCTAGTCCTTAATTTCCTTTACATGCTGAAATTAAAATTGTGTAAACATTTTAATTAGTATTGAGAAGATTATGTTTATATGGTTTAGCACAAGGCGAAGATTGGTTAAAGAGAAAAGGGTTTCAGGAAGTAAGATCGAAAAGCTGCTGGATGTGTTTCCTCAGGTGATCTTTTCTTCAGGTATTAAGAGATCGGTGTCTTAGATGTGGTTTCTAAAAAGAAGCTGGTGGACCCGTGCAAACATTTGCACACACAAATCCTGGTTACTTTTCTTGGTTGTTCAGTAAAGAGAAGGTCAAACTTACTTTAGCTGATACTATTTTTGGACAAATTTTGAAAGGAAAATTGTGTTAAAAGAGATACAAGATGAATGCAGTTGGTATCAGGAGAGAGAGAGAGAGAGAGAGAGAGAGAGGACTTGAAGTTTCGAAACTCAACTGAAAGGTTTATATAGCATGAAATTCATGTGTACGGGACTTTACGTTTCCGTTCTTTTCATTACTGAATGGTGATTTTAGTTTTGTAGATGTTACTTCTTTTCATTAAATCCATGCCCTGAGAAGTGATTAACTTATTGTTGATAGTGATTTATCAAACTTAATTATCTTGATGTGATCTTGCTATGTGTGACCTGCATAGCATATTGGCATCTCTCTTTGGGGTTGAGGCTCTGAGCATATGAAAGTTCATTTGTAGGGAAAAGAATTGACACTAGAGAGTTACCTGGTGCAGCCCTGCTATGTCTTTCTTTCACTCCTAAAGATGTAAACACCTGAGGGACATCAAAGGTAAGATAGTTGAAAATTAGCATTATTCTTCTCTTTACTGTGCTTCAAATCTTCATTATTTTGTGTATAGGGATTGCGGGATGTACATGCTGGATATGAGAAGGCATTGTTGGAAATAGCTTCATCTCTTCAGCTCTCGAGAAATATTTTTATTGCCCTTATTTCACTGCAATCATGGAAGTCCTTTGTGCGGCGTTGGGTGAGGGCAGATGTCTTGTCCTTTGATGCTAAAGTGCCATCTGTCCTCTTGGATAAAACCACTAAAGCTGCTAGTGACATTCTGAAGGTTCATTGTCTTGTTTTCATTTAATTGTACAGAATTTACACTCTAGATATCTGAGCCTGTGCTGAAATTTCCTCCTTTTCTTTTTTTCTTTGTCTAATGTGTAGAGTATGATAAAAGCAGCTGAAGAGGCTATTCCTAGATCTGCTGAAAACATTGCACTAGCTATTGGTGCACTTTGTGTGGTAAGAGTTCTATGTTGTGTGATATTTTATGTAAACTTCATAATCTGACTGCTTTGCATATTTTGTGTTTACTGTTAAAAGATGTATGATATGGTACCATTGGGTATTAACTTTGTCAATTATCTTTGATTTCCATTAGATGGAAAAGTTTGTTGGAATCTATTCTGCCCCTTATACCTTGGGCATTTATGGCATTATTTGAAGAAAACATCATATCATTTTCTTTTCAATATTGATTTTTGCTTACACAGGTAGTATTTTGAGCATTGATTCATTGGTGTCATGACTCGTGAGTAGCTGGAATCCTGCTAACCGTTTTTTTAAAAGTAAAAAACATTATTAAAAAAAAGGAACAAAACCCAATATGCAATACTAGAGAAACTATGACCTGATATTACAATGATCTAAAGAACTTGAAAGAAAAAAAAAATTGAAGAAGAAGCAGGAGTGACAAATAGACAGCATTATCTAACTAGAAAAATGATCTCAGAAACTGAAGCTTCAACTTAGTCGGTGAAGTTCTGACTCAAATAGCAACAAAAGAGGAAAAATAATTTACTCAGTGAATTTCAAGGCTCTCCACGGTCTGATATATTCTCTCTTGCAGGTTTAACTTTTATAATTAGTAATGTCTCTATACTAGGTCTTACATGCTTTACTCATCCTTAAATTTTGGCTATGGTTGCTGTTTGTTAGGCCTTGCCTCCATCTGCTCATGCTGTTAGATCAGATGCCTCAAAATTTCTGTTGAATTGGTTGGTCCAGCATGAACATGAACACCGCAAAGGTCTGCTGCGATTTCTCTTGGATTGATCTCAAGTTGCCTGCATGTAACAGATCATAAGCAAAAGTTTGAGAATATCACTGGACTTGTTGAGGTTTGTAAATTTCTATTTGGCATTTTCAATTCCTTTTTTTTTCTTTCTTATTTGTTCGAAAAGCTGGTGATCTCCCCCTTTTTCCTTGGCCATGCTTTTTTTCACTAATAGTTCATGCTTTCAGGTTATGTGTAGTAGCAATAGCACCCTTGTCAGAGGAGCCTGTGGGCTTGCCTTGGGTTTTTCTTGTCACGATCTTCTTACCAGGGTTGATGCTGGTGATAATTCTGACATGGACAAAGAAACAGGCAAGATGACGGAAGCAGACTTGCTTGGTATGATAGTTAAGGCATTATCACTCATGATAGGTCAGCTCACTCAGTTGCCATCTGATGTTATGGAAAGTCTGTCTGCCTACTTTCCACCTAACGCATTTGGTATAGATATGAATATAACTGCTGAACTGTCACATGAGAACTCTGATGACTCTCTCGAAGATATCTGGGGTGTTGCTGGACTTGTTCTTGGTTTGGCGAGTTCTGTTGGTGCACTGTACAGAGCTGGGGCACATGATGCTGTTCTCAAGATAAAAGACTTGATCATTTCGTGGATTCCACAAATGACTACACCAGTTCAAGGGTCTCGGTCTTTTAGTGGGGGTTCTGAGATAGTTTTATCCGTAGGATCCTGTCTTGCACTTCCCATTGTAGTCGAATTCTGCCAAAGATTAGAACTGATGGATGATAATGAAGTACGCCATTTAGTGAATGGCTACAGGGAGCTCATTTCTGAATTATTGTCTGTCAAAAAATCTGGCACCTTCTATCACAGCTTACTTATGGCATCTTGTATAGGAGCAGGAAGCCTCCTAGCCTGCATACTGAATGGAGGATTGCATTCTCTTGAAGTTGAACATGTAAAAGGTCTACTGGAATTGTTCAGAAAATGTTATTCGAATCCTTACCCTCCTTTAGTCCATTTGAGTGGGATGCTTTGAGTTGTTAATGCTATGGGAGCAGGTGCTGGGATCCTGGTTGACATGTATCCTCCAACCTCAATGCAGACAGCTTATGAACACAAGGTAGTTATATTTTTCTATTTTAAGAAAGCATATACAAGTTTTTGTTATTTTGTTCTTGTTCTGGTTCATGCAAATATATACTCTTGTTTCTGCTGAACAGGAATCTCGATATCTCATGGGCCCTCTACTTTCTAGTCCTACTTGCGAGCAGCATTTGACGTCGTTGATGCAGGATATATTTCTGGTTGCACAGAATTCTGATGACCATCAATTGCAACAATATGCTGCATGGGCAGTTTCGTTTCTTCGAAATCATCTGTTCTTCAAGGAAGTTTGCAATTTTGACAATAGTATCAATAGCGATGGAGGTGGTTCAAAATCAGTTTCTCAAAGTTTTGCAGATGACAGTTCAGTTCTGAAGCTTTCTTCATGGCTGATGCATCTCAATTCTACCGAGGTACATCTCTTGCTACCGGTTTTGTAGTGGTCCACAAGTGCGCTTTTTCTTTCCTTTTTGGTGGATAACAGACATGATTACTTGTGACAAAACTGACATCAACTTTTTCGCCGTTGAAGTGTTCATGTAACTATTACATTTATTTTCTCATATACCTTGATGTGAAGAAATCAATAAATAGGGGCATATGAATTCTTATTTTCACATTTGAAGATCTGTTCTGATTTTGCCCCTGAGATGTCAAATTTTCATACATTGCATAGGCCCCTGAGATGTCAAATTTTCATACATTGCATAGTGTGATTAGTTTTATGAAGGAAGGTTATGCTTGAAGGATGGGAAATCAAGTAATAAAACACGTCAAGAATTGAACGAAAGAGAAAAGATTGGTCATATGCAGTGTAGATCACCAAACTTACAAGTGACATGTATGGGGAAATAATATATCATAATTCATAAGTACCACATTCGCCAATAGATCAAACTTTTGTGGCCTACAGCATGGATATTCATTTTTCCTCTTCCTTTTGTGCCAGTTGTGCGCACACACACACACACGCAAAGGATTTTGTTCTTTGTTTATTTTCCTGTATGGGTCTTTCTAATGTATTGAATTTTTAAATTCAGACAACCGTAATAACTGTGATAAGGTGCCTTTCACAAGCTCCTCGGTTGCCAGCCTTGGATTGGGGTACGATCATCAGACGCTGCATGAGATATGAGGCGCAGGTTGCCGAGTTGTTTCCAACAGAATCATCTCTTGAAAAAGGAACCCTAAGGGAGGAATGTGTAAAATTCTCATTGGCTCATGCCAATAAATTTGATCAGCTCCCAAGTTTCCTGGATGAGCTGTCCGACTTGTCCAGATTCAGAACTCTTGAGTTGAAGCTGCAATCTTGTCTTCTGGATCATCTTGTAGACCTCATTAAAGTATTCTCAGGTTCCAGGCTTGAGAAAGTATTTGATGATGTGCGTAGCTACTTCTCTTCTGTTACTTCATATCAATCACTTGGCACTGATGAGAGAAGCTTATTACGTATTTCATGCTGGAAGGGTTTCTATCAGTGTTTATACGAGGCTTCTCTTGACTCTCTAGAGTACATATCCCAAATAGAAAAGGGCATGGAGGTGCTCTTTTCCTTGATGCCTGCAATGCAATTGCCTGCCATAGAAGGAGGAGGTCAGTTGCGTACTGTAGAGGAGTGGTCCGAGGCGGTTAGATGCTTTAGGAAGACTCGGAAAAGTTGGTTGTTGGATTTCCTGCATGTACTATAGATAATTAGTAATATCTGCTTTTATTGGTATGCGGTTCCCTACAGAAACTCTTATTATAGTTTGTTGTTTGATGAATATGCTGATAATGAGAATGAGTTGCAACTTGCAACCTTCAGAAAATCCTATGATATTTCTTCTGTTGCTATACAAACTAAGTAGGAAATCAAGAAATTTATAGGGCTCTAACAATATGTCAATGCAACTTGATTTATGTTGAACACCATTAGGATACAAATGCTTTAGTTGAACCTAATGGCGCACCTAATGTCCTTACAGGTTTCCCAGGAGGACCTGCAACAAAGAGATGGTCAGCTTATTGAAGTTCTGAAAAAGGTTCAAACCAAAGCTAAGCTTGTTAGGATTGGTTCCATCCCATTGACTGAGCTGGGAAGGCTAAAAGCTTGGATATTGAACACAGAATTAAATGGTTAGGATCTTTCTAATTATGTGTATAATTTTTAAATGGTAATATATGGTTAGTCGAAACATAAGAAAATAAAATGGATGTATCGTGAAAGGTTTGCTCGACGCCACAGTGCTTAATAGAATAGGAGTTGACGTTACTGATATTTGAAAACATCTCTAGTATGAGAATTTCTTACAATGCTGCTGGTGCCTTTGAACTTTACATATTTGCAGGTATGTGGGATGCGCTCGTTGAAGTTGTAGCAGCTTTGCAACATGCAGACGGAAGTGTCAAAAGACAGTGGCTTGTTGATGCAGTTGAAATTAGCCGTGTATCTAGCTATCCTTCCATGGTAGGTGATAACACGTTTCGTAGAGTGAATGGCATACCCCTACTACAGGGCTGTTGCCTTCCCTTGAAATTCTAATGAAATTCATGCGAATTATTAACCATTTTCCTTGTTTGCCAGCTTGAACATCTCTGTCTGTTCTCTATTAAAAATTAACCTTATTCTCCTACAGGCATTGCAATTTCTTGGGTTGCTATCTGGTAGCTGGAGCAAATACATTCCTCTTCTGATTCTGGACCAAGATACTGTGCTGAGCGATTTACCTGTCACCCTTTCCTCTCTCCTCTCAGACTCTAGTTGGGGTGGAGTTGCGGAATTTGTTGTTCCTTCTCTGTTTGCATCGACAGAACGCATTTACAACTGGGCTATACATATCGCACGGTGTGAGGATTTGCCGCCTGACATGCAACCCATTGATAAAAGTGAGAATTCCATGGCTGTATTCTTATTGAGAGTGATGCATTGTACCTGTGTGTCTTTGAAGGATTACCTGCCTCTGGAGAAGCAGCTTAAGCTTGCGAATATGGTGGTTGCTTGACATACCTACCAGCATTGCCTATTTACATAGTGTAGTGGCTGTAAAAATGAAGAAGAAAAAAGAAAGTTATCTGATGCTTCTCTTTTATGACAGTTATCATCTACACCTGCTTCCATCCTTTACTAAATTGATAATTGGGAAAGGTCTAAAATATCGATAATATCATAATATCGACGAAATATTAAGCATATTATTGTTTTTTTCGGGTCTAGGATATTTTGGAACATATAATTATTGATAATATTGGAAAATATCAATGTCCCTGATTTCTCACATGCAAACAATCAAAACTTTCGCAATTTTTTTTTTTAGGAAAAAGTTTCACACTTTAACAGAAGGATCTGGAAGAACTTAACTTCATGAATTATAATACCTAATAAATAGTAATTAAATATATCTTAGCTTTATTTAATTACTTTTATTATTAATTATAGATTAATTACTTTCATTAGTATTTAAATATTTTAATTAGTTTCATTAATAAATAGTCATTTATTATTTTAAATTATTTTGTACACATGAACATTTAGTTTTAATTTCCAAATTTGTTTTTAAAAATTTGTCTTGATTATTTAAAAATCATAGAAAAAAAGTTTAAGTACCCAAAAATATTTTATAAAGTATTTTAGTATTCCATAAATGGATTTTATCCTCAAAACTTTAAATCCAAGTCACAATGTGATTCGATAATACCAACTACTTGTTGGAGTTTGAATGAAATACATGAACTTGAGTTCCACATTGAAAAAGAAGAAAATATCTTTGTTCCTTATACATAGGAGTCTTCCCACACATGCAATATGGAAGGTGGGCCTAGTGGAGTCGAACTTCGGCCTCACTTTTTAATTGGGCTTGAATTCTATATACATAATAATTAAGACATATTAAACTAAAGAAGTTGGCAAAAAAATAAAAATAAAGAAACTAATTATATATATTTATATTAAACCTTTTGTGACAAAATTTCATTGGCATAGATCTATGCCGGTAAATTATTGTCGGGAGAGGTCTAATCCGGCAAATGTTTGCTGGCATAGGTTTATGCCGACAAAATGTCATCGGGAGAGGTTTTTTTCTTTAAACAAATAAAATAAAATTAGTTTCTTTATTATTTTTTGGAACAACTTTTTTATTTTAATATATGTAATTAAGTATTTCTTACCTTTTTAAAATTATTTTAATTATTATATATTTAATGAATAATTAGTATTTAAATATTTTATTAAATTCATAACTTAATAATTATTTATTATTTATTATAAGTTATTTTGTGGAATTAGTTATTTATTTATTTTTATACAAAATTAGTTTTTTTAGTTTAAAAAAGAAAAAGTGATGAAATCCGTTGTTAAAAAAAAATTATGAGTTTTTATATTTAAACTCCACGCTTTTCTTTGTTCACCCCAATACTTAATTTATTAAGCTCTTAAGTTTTATTATTGTGTAAAAAGACAAAAAATGTCATCCAACTTAATATTTAGCCCTAATATATCTATGCACACACCCCATCACTTTTTATATTAAGTTTTAGGAAAACAAAAACTCCTCTATACCCTATTGCCATATTACTCTTCTCTTTCAATCCAAAAAACATACTACACTCTCATATTCTCTTTACAAACTCTAAATACGACATGCAAATAGTGGCTTGTGGGTCGTCAATTGAGTTTGACAACAATGTTTTTATCTCTTTAAGTAATGTGAGGTTGAGGTGAACTTAAAGTGGTGAGGGGCAAGATAGTGGAGTATGGGGGTGTGGGGTGTGGTGTTGATGAGTTTTTTATTTTATTTTTTCTGCTAGGTGTGTATTTGGGGGTAGTTTGGGAAGATAGTTGGGGTTTTCTTTGAAATTTTGAAATTTTGAATTAGAAGTTGAGGGGAACTTAGAAAATGGAGTGAACAAAGAGAAGTGCGGGGTTTAAATATAAAAACTTGAAATTATTTGAGTGAAAATTTAAAATTTGAAAAACATCAAATAAAAATGAGAGACTAAAGCTAGCCAAATTAAAAATTCAGCGTCGCTTAACCCAAAAACTCTGTGGAATTCCACTCTCGTATGGAGTCACCACTTTACCCCTTACGGATCGACCCGGTGTGAGCGGGGATTAGTCTGGATTGTGGTTAAGGCTTAAAGGTGCCACCTATAGTTGGGGCCCATCCAGGACCACCTCGTGGTTCAGACCAAGAAAAAAAAACTCAGTGGAATTTTAGACTTGGCCCGTCCAATTATAGTTTCGATTCTGAAAAGTTTTGACCCGTTTTCCTAAGCCCAACTAACGAACTTTCTCTTTTTCTATTTATAAAATATAAAAATTTCCTTCGTAAATTCCCTATTGTAATTTGTATATGCTCTTTTCTTCCTCAAGAACTGACTCAACTGAGACCTCCTCCATTCACAAGGATGAAGACGCCGATGACACAGCTCGACGACGAAACGGTGCGCAGCATGGCCATTGGAGCCGTTTTCTCAGACTTTGTGAGCTCAACAATTCTCCTTCATATGCTACTTTGTTCTTCTAGCAATTATTATGATTAGTGACTATTGAATTTTATGCACAACCAGGAAACTTTATTTGTTGCGAATTGAAGCTGGTTTTGATTTGGTTTGGAATTAGAGTTTACTGTTGTGATTGTTCATATATGGAGTGAGAAATTTCACATATTCATGAAATTGATTAAACTTATTCTTATCAAAGGAAACGTTGAAGAATTGAGGGTTTGCATTTGAACGTTTAACTCGTCGCTATTATTAAAATTGAAGTATAGGTTTTAAGAGTGAGCCGTTTGTTCAAATTTTCAGGGTGGGAAGATAAATTCACTGGATTTTCACCGCAAGGATGATTTACTGGTTACGGCTAGCGAGGATGATTCTGTGCGACTCTATGACATTGCAACTGCTAAGTGAGTTAACTATTACCTGATAGAAGATGTTTATGCTGCAAGAAATCGACTATAGCTGTATACATATATATTTACACACACACTCACACTCATGGATGAAGTAGTTTACCTTGTGCCTTGATCTTATCTGTCCTTTTGTTTACGAGGGAGCATTTGATCGAACCGGTTTCGTGTTGTTGAATTGGACTCCATTGTTGTTGTCAGTTGAAGAAATACAAATTCTTTCAATGGCATTTCTGTGGTATAATTCTGTTATCAGCAACATGTGCTATCTAAGCTTGTTTTATGCCATGGTTTCTTATAGTGAGACTTCATTGATTTTAAACATTTGAGCATGTCTTTGTGTATGGTTTCTTGTAGTGAGACTTCAACTGTTATTAAGTGCATGTCCACTTTCAAGTTCTTTCCTTCATCTGAAATTTATGTTTTATAGATGTAGCGCACAGAAACCAATGACGGGAAACTGCATCAATATTGTTGCTTCTTTAATAACATTTCTTCATGAACTTCAGGTTGCTAAAGACCACATTCCATAAGAAACATGGAGCAGATCGTATATGCTTTACCCATCACCCAAGTTCTGTTATATGCTCTTCAAAATACAATCTGGATGCCACTGGAGGTGACTTTTTTTTTAACGTGCCACTAACTCCTAATTCCTGTGATATTATTTTCCAAATGATGCTGACTGTTTCCTTAGCAGAATCACTGCGGTATCTGTCAATGTATGATAATCGATGCCTTCGCTACTTCAAAGGACATAAAGAGAGGTTTGAATCCCTTGACTTTTGTGGTACTAATAATAAGCCCATGATGTGTTTTGGATCACTTGTAATGGATGCTTATTGTCATAAATTGTCTATTTAAGGCAGTAGGATCTGTACGTTTTACTGAATATCACTTTAGAAAATGACACAATTCACAAAAAGCATCAGAGAGTAAAGTCTGTTTTATAGGTCACAGAGTCACAGTAGTCACTTCATGTTCTGAACTTTGTGTGAAATGCTAGTAAACATGATACTTAGAAAGTCTGTGTGGTGCTAGTAAACATGGGTGCTTTCAGTTTGTTGTTTATGATGTGTAAACACACATGGCTTTTATGATGTATCTGCATGCACACAAACAGCCATGGGTTCTCGGACACACACTATTAATTCTGAGTTCGATCATAAACAATGAAATAAGGTCTTATCCCTATCTTATAAATGGACATCATTATCAATGCTGCTAATTAGTTAAGTTTTATGATTCTTTTCCCTTTCTCTTTTTGCAAACTTGTTTTGCTTATGATTTCTATTAACTGCTGCTGTAGAATTGTTTCCCTCTGTATGTCACCAGTCAACGATAGCTTCATGTCTGGTTCGTTGGACCACACTGTCAGAATATGGGATCTCCGTGTAAATGCCTGCCAGGTAGGTTTTTGGTTTTAATACATAACATGATAAAGGTAGGCTAAATTTGGAAAAGTAATCTTGAGAACTTGAGATGCAGTTCTAAGACAAGATTGCAATTCATGCTTACAGGGAATTTTGCATCTACGTGGTAGACCTACAGTTGCCTATGACCAGCAAGGTCTTGTTTTTGCTGTGGCAATGGAAGGGGGTGCGATTAAATTGTTTGATTCACGTTCCTACGACAAGGTTATAACCTATGAATAACTGACTTTGTTTTGGCATAATTATGAATTTTCAAATCATGAATTTAACTAAAATTTTCCTAATTAGGGTCCATTTGATACCTTTTTAGTTGGTGGAGATACTGCTGAAGTTTGTGATATCAAGTTTAGCAGTGATGGCAAATCAATGCTCTTGACAACCACAAACAACAACATCTATATTCTGGACGCATATGGAGGAGAGAAGGTATATTTTCCTGTTGAGATTATTTTGTATTCTCTCTGGGTGTGTTACAACAATATGCCTAAAATTTAGAACTTTCCTTTGTGCAGCGCTGTGGGTACAGTTTGGAACCATCTCCTAACGTAATAATAGAGGCAACTTTTACCCCAGATGGCCAGTATGTCGTGTCAGGTATATGTATTTTGCACTGCTTGTTACGATGTGGCATCTTATCTAATGTTCTGATTCTAATTTTTTACCTCATCTTTGTCAAAGGCTCTGGAGATGGAAACTTGCATGCCTGGAGCATCAACAAGCGGAGCGAGGTAACGATTTATATATTTTGATTCTGCTTATGATTGAAGCTTTTGAATTCTAGTCATGAGGACTATTCACTGTCTGATTTAATTTGATAAAAATGGTGTCCTGGTAACCCATTTTGGCTTGTAGTGGGTTGTAAATGCTTGGAAACAGAACAACATTGCTCAAATACACTAATTAAGTGCTTTGTATCATGAGATTATAGATGGAAAATTTTGACTCTCCAAAAATCGGTAATTTCTTTTTTCAGCAGGTGGCATGCTGGAACAGTCACATTGGAGTTCCATCTTGCTTGAAGTGGGCTCCCCGCAGGGCCATGTTTGCTGCTGCATCATCGGTTCTTACCTTTTGGATACCTAACGACTCAAACGCCGAGCCGACTCGCATGGACACCGAAGCCGGTGTTGAAGCCGAGCATCCTTCTCAGTAAAACCCGTTTGAGTTAGTTCCTCCTATTAATTTCATATGCTTCCAATTTTCTTCAATTGGCATTGGTTTGTTTGTAGGGTCAGAGTAGTCTAGCCTCTTGAGATCAGTTTAAACTTAAATGTACCATAAAAAAGAAAAAAGGCTTTCAGATGTACAATAGTTTTTTATGGACAGAAACGGCTGTGTGTTAACTTGTTAGCAACATTTTAGAAGAAAGTGTACTCGCGGGGGGCCTATGCAAAATGACCCAATTTGAGTACCGGGTCTTGGTTCAGATCGACATCGTGCAAAGGCACAAGAGAATAGTTGTTGGTGAGTGACAATTTTGGAGTGGCTAAAATAAATTGCAGAGTATGTGCAAAATAATCTGTGCTTCCAGGTGCTACAAATTTTTGTCCCTGAGCCCCCCTCCCTTTGCCGGCTGGTATGCGTTTCCTTTTAGAGATATTTAGTCATATACTCATATTTAGCACTAATAATATAGATAAATTTTACACCATTTAATTTTTATAAACAATCCAAAAAAAACCCAAAAACCCCAAAAAATAACAGCTGACCCTATTGAATTTAATTTTAATTTTAGGGTAAATTACTCAAATGGTCCTCAAATTTGTACCCGATTTACATTTTGGTCCCTAAACTAAATTATTCGTTCAAATGGTTCACCAACTCTTTATTAATCGTCGCTTTGGTCCTACCGTTATATTTTCTGTTAAATTCAGTCATGTGAACAGTACACGCTACACTTGTGGGGGTAAATAAGACTTTTGACCTATGTATCACCATTTTATCACCTATTTGGGGAACATAGGATAGTTATGGATGGTTTTACCCTTACATTTGACGGCAACATTAACATAATTTAACGGTAGGATCAATGGAACGATTAATATAGAGTTGATGGACCATTTGAATGAATAATTTAATTGAGGGACCAAAATGTAAATTGGGTATAAGTTTGAGGACCATTTGAGTAATTTACCCTTTGATTTTAAGAAATCAATAGCAATTTTGTAATTTAAAAGATGTTAAAAACCTTTTTGTTATGTTGTAAATAGGTTTTTGGTGTGTTTCTAATCCATTTCATATTGAATTTTTTTATAATTTGTGCTCCTATATTATGTATAATAGTGAATCTCCCTTCTTTGGGTATAATTTTGCTCACCATTTTAACCCAAGGTGTACTCTCACCACTATTTCCAATACTTAACATGTGTTTCTTGACATAAGGATAATTAATTCTTTACTTTCTTGACATAAGGATAATTAATTCTTTACTTTGTATTTATGCAAGTAAAATGTTGTGAGGTACACTATTGAGCAAAAATCTCACCTTCTTAGGAGCTAGTTTTTAATACCCATTGCTTTACGAGGAGCTAGTCCAAGTTCTGACCCACATGAATGGTTGAATAGGGTGACCGTGTATATTGCTTATAAGTTATTTCTTTATTAGGATATGGGCTTTCCTCTCCCACTCTTGTTATTACTTTTTTGTGGTTGCTCTTTCTCACACAGACAGAGAGAGAGAGAGAGAGAGAGAGAGAGAGTACCAATAAATTTGCATAATTAAAATTTAAGGACATACATTAAACACAATGTAGATAATTACACAGGAAGTGCCAGATTCTAGAGGTAACCATAACCGACATTCATGGACCTCTTAAATTCTGCAATAAACCACCTCATTAGACTCTTCTACATACAAGAACAAGTACATGACAAAACGAACAGCACTAGCTACGTACACATCTGAAGCCAGCCAACATCGACACTTAACAATAGAAAACCACCTGAAAGAGGTTACGACATTATTTCCCTTCCATTCTCGTATACAACCTCTCTAGCCTTCTTCCACTTCAACGACTTTCATGTCCTCCTCTTTTCGTCTTGGGCCTTACTCTGGATGTCTTGGCTGCCCTCCTTGGTCTTCTGTCCCACAAACTCCGCCATATCCGCCGTGCGCCTCTTCAAATGGTCCAGATGCTCTGGCACCAACCCTGTGGCCCTCCGGAGGTAGTTGGTGACCCAAGACAGAGACGAGAGTGCAGTCAGTCCAAAAGCGCCCGAAGTTAGAAATCCGATAACGGCCAGGCCGATGACAAAGAGAGCCGGGACAAGAACCGGGCTGAAGATGATGAAGAGTGGGGTGGCCAACAGAGCCCCAATGATGGTGCCCATGAGTATGAGACCAGCAAGCGCTAGCAGGGTTCCGCCAACCGGAAGGCCAGTTATGACTGCGAGGACCTGGCCAGTTGACGGGCCTTGGTTTTGGGTCTTGACCCCAAGGCCATGCTGGGGACGAACTTGGAGCTGGTGTGGCTGAGGACGATCCGCCATTGATGAGAGTTGAGCTGAGAGGAGAGTTTTGGGAGTGACGAAACTTTGGACAATATGTTTCAGAAGAGTGATGAAGCAAAAGATGGATGTGAATGGGATTGAGATATGAGGAGAGGTGGTGATATTTTATAGAAGGGTGGTGAGTGCAAGGTGATGACACGTACGTTTGAGATGGTGAGTTGGGCCTTTGCATGAGGAACAAGTTTCAGTGCAGCTTTTGGGCACTTAACCAAAATACTGAAAAAAGGTTTTAATTCGAAAGTTGAGGTGGCTTTCTGTGAAGGAGTCTTTATTGCCACCACATTTCGCGTTCGGTTCTGCCACATTGTTTGGTTGCCTGCATGTTTGGGCGTTACTCTCTCGAGCTCGTCTTTTTCTCTTATTTTGCTTTCTAGTCTACTTGCATAAGCCCCTAAATAAAAATTAGCGAAATCTAAATGCATGTTAAGTTAATGGGTGGAGACTTCTATAGACACCCCAAATTGAAGACCCAAGTGCTAATGGGGTTTAGCCCAGTAAAAAAGGACTTTGATTAGCGAACTCAAGTTCAAACCTTCATGATACTTTGATAGCGTGTGTGATAACCCCTCCGTCTTATAATTAGCCTTAAAAAAAGGTGCAAAGAAGTGAAAATGCAACTTTTAAAGAGTTAATTTGATATATGTTTAAATGTTGGCGTTTAAAACAAATTTCATTTTTATGAAAACAAGTTTTGGTGTCCACAGAATCACTCCTCTCCTTTTATTCATAAAAATTGATGGGTTTTACCTCAATGGTGAGGTCCCTCCCCATTCCTCTCTTTTTATGCAATGTATCGCTAATTCTATAAATAAATAAAAATAAAAATAAAATAAAAAAATTGATGGCTCCACTCGAGTCCTTTGCCGGTCGGGGAAAAAAAGGAAATTTGAAAAGGCCATTTTATTTGTGCATACCAAGGACATACATTTTACTTCATTTTTGCACAAGTGCAATGCATTCATTTTTAAAAGTATTTTTTTGGACGAACATTTTTAAAAGTACATTATTAACAACAACAGTGTAATTGTACCCTGCCGTTTGCCTCATTTATTATTGGGCCTTACTCTGGATGTCTTGGCCCACCTTATCCATCTTCAGGCCTAAGAAAAAGATAGCTGGCATGTAAACTGGGCTGAAAATGATGAAGTGCCCAAAAAAGCTTGTGTGAAACATGAATGGCAATGTTTTGCTCTCTCCGATGGTATGATAAGTAGAAAGTTATCACGCGTGAGATACAGTGATTGGCCGGTATAGCAAAATAGTGATATCTATGTTACACAAATGTTTCTCAGTTGAGGCATATGTCTAATCAGTCAATCAAAGAGATTCCAAGGACATTGATTCATTTAGAAGGAAAGGCAATCGCATGTCTAGTCTATGCTGTTGGGCCTTTTGGGTTACCTTTTTGGGCGGTTTGTGGTGGCCCAACATTTGGAGAGCGATAGACATGACCTAGGCTAGAGGAGCCTATAGCTGGGACTACCCCAAATCGATTAGGACGTTTTGACACTTTCTTTTTTTTCTATTACGCGTGCTCCTTTGTGCATTGCTTAAAGAGGGACATGTAGCATCTTTTCTTGTCATTTTACTTCAATTTCTTTTGTTACTCAACTTTCCTCTCTTTTTTTTTTCTTTTTTTTAAAATCACACAAAGGTAAGCTTTCTTCGAAAGTTTAATTCAACATCGTCTCTAATAAAATGAGGACTGAATGCCACCATAAAGCAACACACTAACCATTGCCCCTCAGCTACATAACTTCATCAAGTCATGGCTTTAGTTGCATTGCTACGAACTAACTAATACAAGCGCATGAATCCATCATATTATATATAACATGAACTAAAACTAAACGATTTGGATTATTAAAATACAATGTGTTATGGGCCCTATATATAATGTTAAAAGTGAAAACCCGACATCAAAATCTTTGTGCCTAGCTAGTGCTATCTATATACATATACGTACTACTGTTGAAGCATCAGCATTGCAGTTAGTACCCTAATCTAATGTAGCCTCCCCCGCAGCTAGCCTAGTAGCATCAACCAAAAAGAAAAAACAAACATGCAAATATATGCACGTGACAATATTACTATTTGTTGACCCCAAGACCAATTATAGTACGAAACATAGTTTAAATATTTCATACGCAGAAACAAGTTGTTTCCAAAGGGACATGATGATTGGTAAATATATATATATATATATATATAAAGGGGAAAATAATAATAATGGGTCCGCCAATTAATATGTTTCTGTGAAGGAGCAGGGTAGAGGGTACCCTTCAATCGTCATCACACATGGCATGCGCAAACAATATCCCTTTTATGGATCTTCATTCATAGAATCATCTCTGTGCGACTTACTGTATATATAGTACCCTTCAGAATTATTCAGACTGTGACAGAAGAGGAGAGAGGACTCTGAAATTCACAAGCAGTATATATCTTATTATTAAGGTTAAAATATATTTGATTGATATGGCTAGGTGGGTGAAGAAGTCAACATATTTACAGTGGCTGCCACTTGTGCCTGTCCCTGAAAAAACAGGTTATTCTGGGTGGCAGGGGGAGATATATAAAAGTTCTTGTGAGAAGAAGGTCTCTTGTTTGAAAGATGAATTGATAGATAGATATGAGGCAACACAAAAAGCAATAGGAATATCCCACAACAACACAACCCACATCCATCAAATTGTCATTTCTTCACACTTCACACTAAGACCTGATACAATGCATGGATAAGGAAAAAGGGGGATGGAGGGAGCCCATATGTTGGATATGATCGACATGTTCTTTTTATCAATTCTCCCTTTCACTGTATTGTTCTCATATATATATATATACTTATTCTTATTCGGATGTCCACAATTGTAAACAGACATGAAAGCAGGGAGGAATAGTATAAAATATATGGCATCTGCATGATAATAACGTTCGAATGTCCGTATAGAAGAATTTCTGTATATATATAGTCCCCTTCTATTGAGGGATCCCTCAAATAATTTTATTTGAGGGACACTCTTTAGGGTCCCCTACAATTTTTTTTTTTCCAATGATCCAAACCATATATTTTTAAGTCTACCTTCATAGATCATCCTTACAAAAAATTAGATAAATCGGAAACCATTTCAATATCCAATTGTATCCTACAAAATCAATAAACACAGTGCTTCAAGAAAGTACTCAAATTTCAATAATTCAATTGAGTGGTCAAATGATATCATATTCAAGTAATTTTTTTTTGTAGAGATGATCTTTGAATGAATATCTACAAAATAGAAGGTTTGGATTAGTGAAATACAATACGAAGTTGGCCCTACAAAGGTGTTTCTCAAATAAGTTTTGAGGAATCCCTCAACTCAACTGGAGCTTAATTTCAGATATCTTATATATATAACATGCAGCTTATATAGCTATTAAATAACCAGGCCATGGAGAGAGATGTTCACTCTGAAACAAACGAAATACTAGCTATCTAAAAAGGACATGGACTGAGATTATTAATCAACCAAACAAATCACCTCTAATTAGCCAGAGCTTCATTTGGGGCAACCAGTACACATGATATTATAAATCAGACAAGCAATAAGATCTCTGAAATTAATGCTTTCAATGTTATATATCACAGGAGAGTTCATAGCTAGACTGATCCACATACTTATTACACCATTCTAAATCCAGTGTAGATACACCCGGAGAAACCCTAATATGTAACCCTAAAAACCGGGTCTACATACCCAATAATAATATCTATTTTTTATTAAAAATGGACATCTATTGGCACATAACATCTCATGTCATATGAGACTAACTCTACATATTTCCTTCTCCTCATCCTCATCCTCCTCCTCTCTCGTTTCTATCTTCTCCGTAAGAGTCTGATCTATTCCATGGAGAAGAAAAATACAACCCAGGATTTTGACCAAGAGACCCTCCTCCATGACCCATATTACTATTAGTCCTAGTCCTCCCGGACTGGGATGCAATTGGAATTTCAAGATTGTTGCAGCTGCTTGCTGCATAGCGGATGAGATCAGCATTTGTGGCGTCCAGCTCCTTCTGGAGGCGAATGACTTGCCTTTGGAGGACTGAGATGGCTCCTACGCATCCGTACACCGGATCTTTCATCCGGGCCTCCGCTTCGTAGGCCAAAGAGTTGACTGCATCCTCTCTCTGATGGGGGAGCACCTCATTCAGAAGCTTGCTTACATTGCTGGCACCAAATATCTTGTGGACATTTGCAAACTTTTGTGGTTCCTCCGGTGGGAAATAGGGAGCAAATATGCAATCCGGCATGCATTTTCTCCTCAAGAATTTGCACGCTGCGCAAGGAGAATTCGTATAACTAGAACTAGATGAAGCCATCCTCCAGTGGACCAGTTGTGCTGCAGAAAATTAATCCCAATATTCAAATTGAAAGTTAAATACCAGTGAGCCCTCACCAAAGCCATAAATTATATATTCTCTTGACATAATTTAATGTCTTCTTTTGAATAAGAAAAAGATCAAAATAAGATTGATGAAGTTCCTGATTAAACTGAGATCAATGATCACGATGCTGAATTAGCTGGTTAACTAGGAAAAGGCCTTTCGTATTCACTTTTGGAGTTATAGATAGTACTTCTAATTAGGGTAGCCGACATAGAGTTGCTAGTTGCATGCTTTCTTGTTAAATTTCAAATTTCTTTACTTTTTTGTCAGACAATCAGCAGTCTTTCTTGAATTTGAACGCTACTGCAGGTTTTGAATATTTATATATCCATCCAAAGATCCTATGAATATAAGTTTTAGATTTCAAAAATTCCAAATGAGGGAAAACGAAAGAAAAGGCAAGAAAATCAAAGTACATAGAATTTCCTGGTTTTATATATAGTCTCTTGAATTTGTTCCCAAAAGAAAAAGAAAAACAAAAAGAAAAAAAAAGTAACAGTACTTCCTCCCTGATTTCTTTGCTCTCTCTCACTCACACACAAATTAATCTGAACCTGGACTTACTGCAAATAGTTAACTCCTTTCTTATAGGTATATGAATCAAGTGCAGAGCCTGCTGATCGATGCAATTATATATATATCCATTTTATTACTGTAGGGTGCAGTTCATTTTCTAATTCCACAACCCAATGTCCTGGATCAAACCCTTCAACCTAATTAAAGTCAAGCGCAACGGTTTCCCACCGGAAAAATTAGGCATTCAAATACAATCAATTATAGAAAGAACAAAGAGGTCTGCTTACTTACCCTGCTTCTCTCTCTGATTTCGGTTTTCTGATCATCAGATGCAAAAAGAATAGATTAATATTTAATCAATTACCTTTTTCTCCGTTGTGTGAAAAAACTCTTTCAAGATCTCTTCTGTGATTGTACCATGAAGTTGCAGGCCTTTTACTGCTGGAGATGTGAAAGTTCAAAGAAGATCTAAACCCTAGCTAGCTATATATAGTTCTTGCAGGGACAGGAAAAAGAGAGAGAGAGAGAGAGAGAGAGAGAGAGAGAGCTTCACTGCAACCACAGTGACAAAAAAGTTTATAAAGGAATTGATGATGAGTGAGAAGTGAGAAGTGAGAAGGAGGCAAAGAGCATTTTCAGTGGGGGGGAGAAGAAATGGAAAGCAAAAAGACAAGTGTAATAAATCATATGGGCTACCAAGGAAAAAAAAAGGATGAGTATGACTCTGCCTTTATAATAATATCAATCACTATTCAGCAACAATTGCCAGGTTAATCACTGCTTAGTTTGTTCCCATGTCCTATCAAATGCAGCAAATGTCTAAGCTAATACCATGTTTTCTCCTTTATACTAAACCGATCAAATAATATTAAACATTTTTAATTACAAAATGATTATATGGAACCCTTGATTAATAATGTATGTTAGAGTTTTAAGTTTGTTATCGAAAACCGGAAGTGCGCATTTCATACATCGATAGTGTGCTCTCCTGTTGAAGATCATCAGAAAGCACTTTATAAATTAGATCCCCTATATTTAAACATAATTCAGAGACAGATGTTTACTGGTATATGTTTATAATCTTCCCCTAATCTAATGGAATATTGCATAGAATGAGATGATTAATTGTCTCTGTACTGTGCTGTACTGTAGGTCATCATCGAATGCTTCAGTGCTTAAAGGGTTCAAAAATTCGTGTAAAAGTAAATGCGACAGGAAACAACTATCGATATGAAAAAGCACTTAGTACTGTTACTAGTACTGTTTACTTGTATTATTGAATTCAGTCATGCATATGCGTAAGTTTTTCAATATGTGCTGACAAAGGCCTGAAACAATAAGGATCAAAACAAAAAAATTAAATGTTGTCGGGTCTATCATCTCATTTGAATTATAAACGTACTCTCAGTTTTAATTTCCTGCTCACTAGTTGACAAAGGCCATAACGTTGATGGATGCGTATGGCAGCAAGCAATGACGCATATACATTTGACTCTAGCTATAATCCAAATCTAACACATTATCTCGAGTAATACGTCGAACTATACAAAACTCGTCAATTTATCACCCGCTAATATACTTTTAATAATTTCATTCAAAATAATGCCATTATATTCATAGAACGAAATGTAGCTAAGATTCAAGTTCGTTCATAACCAACATTAAAGTGGCATGGCATTCTTGCAACTATACTATAAAGTGACCTAGCTAGCTAGCTAGCTATAATCTAACTTTGATATCTTGCCGAAAGGCCTAAAAGGCAAATAAGATAACCCTACTTATATATTGAAGAATCAATGAGAAGTTTGGCCCCTACTCTCTCTCCCTTATAAGTTTGGTTGGTGGCCCCTCCAACAGTAGAGAGTCACCACTCATCAGAAACTTAGTTCAGAAAAATAATTCCCGCTATAAATATTCATTGCTTTCCGCCTTTTGCTGTTCAACACAGAATAAATATATACAGTTATTCTCTTATTTATAATTGCAAGAGAAATATGTCGATGTTTTGATATATAATCAAAACTCCCATAATAAGTTATATAATTATTAGTACCTAATAAATACTTAGTAATCATGAACTGATCATGATAACCCTTCTCTTTAGATTCTTCTCTTTATTAAGATAAATGAATTTTAAAAGTGTGTCAATCATATGCCATATTTGTATATATTAAATTTGCATTATTAATCTCTCGTTGCCTTTGAAGGAAGGCTTGGTGTGCCAAATTAATTTTGCAATGCATCGATCGACAATAATGAGAGCATTTTTGCTCATTATTTTCACTCAATGTGTATTCTCATAATCATTCTCAACATTTGAAACGTGTGCATATGTATAACCATGATTCCATAAATACAAAGTAAAAAGTTAACTATGGTTATACCTATAAAAAAAGGTAGAGAGAATATTCGATAATAATTGTTGGTTAAAGAAAGTAATAATATATAAATTAGCCAATGACCACCCACCCTTTTTCTTATTTTATTACTATTTTATGCCATACTAAAACTATCTCAAGCTAGTGGATATCGAGCTACATACATGGCCCTGGTGGCTTATAATCAACCCATAAACCATAATGTCCCCATTGATTCCATCCACCAAGAGGAGCTTTCTTTGCGGCATGCCCGAGAGAATATATATAATTCTCTTTGTGCGTTGTGGGTTGGTTGGATATATTGCGAAATAAAAGAGGAATTAAAAATATTATATTATCTTTTGGAACATGATGATCATAGATTAGGTTTAGGTACTTCAACGATTGTAGTCCTAATGATTAGAGGGTCAATTATTTGGTTGATGGAAGACACGCCCTTTATCTTCTAGACTTGTTCACATGCACGCTCGTACTAGAATACAATGCATTTTGAACATATCTAATTTTATAATTCTGCTTCTTCCCTTCAACTTCTGCATACTCCACTTTCATGATGATCCGTGTATAAAGTCCTTCGCACTTAATTCAAGTTTAATTATGAACTTAATTCAAGTTAGATTATGTTCTAATTATGTTCTTTCAGGTGACCCACGCATCTAGTGTAGATAAGAAGAATTATAAACAATGACAAACTCTAGGCTTAGTTTTATTATGAGACCTTTTCAAGATAATTTCATTGGTATAGACCTTTTCAGGTGAATCCTTTCATTTTGATAGACCTTTCCCAGCGATCGTTTAGTCGGGATAGACACTTCTCGGCAATTTGTCCTCCGGAATAAACCTTTCGGGCACAAGTTTCTCTTGCCCGACAAATTTTTTCATAGTGAGTTGTGGATGCATGTAAATGTTTAACAAGTTGCTCTGCTATATAATGCATATATAGACTACTCTTAGCTGCTTGCTTGTTGCAGAAAAATAAATTTTCTCCCATATGCAGCTTGAATTTTATAGTTACGATTCGGAAGGTTTTTTTATTTTATTTTTTGTTATTTTTAAACAAAGTGAAGATAATTGTGATACTCGATTGTAATATTCTCCCGATATCTAATAAATATTCTGACGTACAAGTTTGAAAAACAAAATCTGTGAAGTTTACAATAATAGAAAGATATCTTATAATAAAGTAGAGCCATCTTAAAATTCATTATTGGTTTTGTATTGTATGTTCATAAATGAAAAATCTTTTTTTTTTCTTTTTGAAAGAGTAAATAAAGTTTTTTTTTAACAAAAAATAAAAAAGACTACATTTTTTTAATTGGTAACTGCGAGCACTGCAGGAACCTAACAGCGTCAAACTCAAGTGGAAGGTTGCCTCAGATTTGAAGCAAGAAGATGAACAACAACCTGAGCAAAAAAAAACAAAAAAAATTGAAGCAAAGTTTGAGCAATTAAGCATCCCCAAATGGCTGGCTTAGAGGAATTAAGAAAAAAGCTCACGCCTTTGTTCGATGCCGAAAAGGGCTTCTCCACGGGCTCAACCTTGGACTTGGACCCTTGCGATTCTTACACAGTAAGCTTCTTTTTGCTTTTGCCGCAATCTGCGTAATTGGATGTTGAATTTTGAATTTTGAATTTTTCTCCTGGAAATGGAATTGATTCTTGGTTTCGCTGAAGCTATCGGACAGTGGAACGGTCAACTTGCTGAGCAGATCGTACGGTGTGTACAACATCAATGAGCTCGGATTGCAGAAATGCACGACGTTGGCGGTGGACGACAGCAGCGAAAAGACGTACCGGTGTGGTTCGCATGAGATGAGGGTATTTGGGGCAATTGGCAGTGGTGCCAGCAGCGTTGTACAGAGAGCTATTCACATTCCCACTCATCGGATTTTAGCGCTCAAGAAGATCAATATTTTCGAAAAGGTATACTTTTTCAGATAAATTATAGTCATGTTTGGTTTTTCACAAGTAAAAATGGGTAGTTTGATTTTCCCTGCATCTATCTGCATGTGGGTGAGTGGTGACCAGTCCCTTAATTCAAAATTTGGTACCTTTATGCTAGTTTCTATTGACCCAAATGCAAATGGTGCAAAAAAAGACTAGCGAATTTTGAGTGTGAAAATTGAAGCAGACTTTACATTTATTCCATAATAGGAGAAAAGGCAACAGCTGCTTACTGAGATACGGACGCTATGTGAAGCACCTTGCTACCAAGGTCTTGTAGAATTTCATGGTGCATTTTATACGCCGGATTCTGGTCAAATAAGCATTGCTCTGGAGTATATGGATGGAGGATCATTGGCGGATATCTTAAGATTGCGGAAAAGAATACCTGAACCTCTACTTTCTTCTATGTTTCAAAAGCTTCTGCATGTGAGCATATCCACACTCAGTTTCAGCTTGATTTGATCAGAATATGGTTTATAGTGATGTTATTTAAGCTTCTTTTTTTCTTCTTAATGTTTTCACTATGGAAGGGACTGAGCTACTTGCATGGAGTTAGGCATCTAGTCCACCGAGACATAAAGCCTGCCAATTTGCTTGTAAATCTCAAGGGTGAGCCAAAAATAACAGATTTTGGTATAAGTGCTGGCTTAGAGAATTCAATGGCAATGGTTGGTAATGCTGCATCTTTGTGCTTTTGTTTTATTATCATGATCAATCACTGCTTTCTTTAGTTCATTCATTCGCACTAGTGGTGGTGTCTACTTCTGTGTTACATTTGGGGCATAGATATTAAGTTTGGTATTTTGGTTTTAACAAGTCTCACAATACGATTACCAGTGTGCGACATTCGTTGGGACGGTTACATACATGTCGCCTGAGAGAATTCGAAATGAGAATTATTCTTATCCAGCTGATATTTGGAGCCTTGGTCTTGCTCTCTTTGAGTGTGGTACCGGAGAATTCCCATATACATCTAATGAAGGACCTGTCAATCTTATGTTGCAGGTAACATGCCCATACCTGTCCCTTAATTTATGTTGCCTTGCATAAGATTCTTCTAAGGTTTGTAGGATATGTTCTCAAGTGCAACTGAGGAGAGGTTCTGAAAAAAAAATACTCGAACTGTTGGACATACATAATTACTGCATTCATATGCTTTCCAGTGCCTACATGCCAGCCTTTGTTTTGCAACTAAACATTTTAGGTTTTATGGCAGATATTGGATGATCCATCACCTACGCCTTCAAAACACAATTTTTCACCCGAGTTTTGCTCGTTTATTGAAGCCTGTTTGCAAAAGGATGCGGATGCTAGGCCAACAGCAGAGCAGGTGATTAAAGCCACAGTATACAATCTGGAACATGATAGTTTGACGTCAACATTGTTTAACTAGTATTCTTCTAGTGCAGCTACTTTCACACCCCTTCATTACAAAGTATGAGGATTCCCAAGTGGACTTAGCAGTGTTTGTCCGAAGCGTATTTGATCCAACACAAAGGATGAAGGACTTGGCAGATGTGAGTACCAGACACTTACATTATCTTTTTACCGTAAAAAAGTGTGCTAACAAACCACATAAATTGTCAAGTCTAAATATAATCTCAACAGTTTGTCCAATATACTTTGGTCTCAGTTACTAATATAAAGTTCACAGGATTCAATTTATATCAGAGTCCACAGTGTACGATTTATTTATAATGGCTTGGAACTTGCATCATGCTTGTGATCTACTGATTTTGATCTCACTTATTTTTTTTCTGACCAGATGCTTACAATACATTTTTACCTACTTTTTGATGGACCTGATGAGCTCTGGCAACATACAAGGACCTTATACAGTGAAGATTCAGTTTTCAGGTACTGAAATTTAAAACACCTGCCCTTGCCGGTCAATGCCAACCAGCAGCTTCACGTTTCTAATATAAACTTTGATCCTTTTTAGTTTCTCAGGAAAGCAACTAGTCGGCCCAAATGATATCTTTGCAAGACTGTCAAGTATACGAAGTACATTAGCTGGTGACTGGCCTCCTGAAAGACTTGTGCATGTTGTGGAAAAGCTTCAGTGCCGTGCTCATGGTCAGGATGGTGTAGCAATTAGGGTATCCGGATCATTCATTGTCGGGAATCAGTTCCTTATATGTGGAGACGGTGTACAGGTAGAGGGCTTGCCAAGCATTAAAGATCTTTCCATTGATATTTCGAGTAAGCGAATGGGTACGTTCCGGGAGCAGTTCATTATGGAGCCAAGCAATATAATAGGGCGCTACTCCATATCTAAACAAGAACTTTACATTATGCAGTAAAAAGTGGAGAATCCTACTTTACTGCCGGAAGAAGTATTAGTATGTGATGTCAAACATAAAACAAATGTACAGCCAAAAGTTTTCATGGGCAAATTTGCGATGCATCATTAACATCTTTGTAATCAAATGTCCAGAAAATTCATAGTTATTTTAGTTCAAATGCACACCAGAGAACCTTTTTTTTTATAAATCTTTTGCGACGGTTTTGGAATCATACTAGTTGCTCATGACTTTACCGTCTACATGAGTAGTGTGATAGCCACACCGTACCGAACAAACCAAATCACAAGCCCTAGGTCCCAATTGCATGTACCTTCCAGTAATTCACTCTCAAACAGATCATTTTGAATAATGGCACTCTGCCATTTTAACTCAATAGTTTCTGGGCAGGTTTTTTTACCTCACAAGAAAAAATTCCCACATTGACCCAAAAAAGAAAAAAAATTCCCACATTGGAACAAATTGCTTGGAATGTACACAAAACAGATAACACATGTCACATAACATCAATAAAGCAATGTAATATATTTCTTAGGCGGGGTGGACAAAAATGAGATGTTATATTTCCATCGCGTAAAATCCTTTTGCATGCGGCTTTACATTCCAAATAGAAACCTGCATCAAGTGAAACCGACCAAATCAACCCTGCAACTAAGAATGCCATGTCGAGGAAACAAAGGGTCTGAGAAAAATTTGAGAATACTTACTATGAAACATTCTGAAAAGGGGGTTGAATGCATCTACTTTTGAAGCAGTAGGCTCAGCGGCACTATCGGCACTTTGTACAGTAAACCCAACAAAAAGCAAAAAGATAGGCTACAAGTTTAAAGTAGGTACTCCAAAGTAATCTCGGATTGTTTTCCTTTTTAGAGAGGAAGGAGGGTTCAGAACAGAAGAAGGGCTCTGCAACGCAGCTTCTGGGGTCTTTTCAAAGGTTTCAATAAAGTCAGAATCTGCCATAGATTGTTTCTTCTGAGATTGGGGAGTACTGATTTTCGGCATTTTAATTGGTTTTCTTGAACTAGATTCATCCAATCCGTCATCTGACGGACACAAATTTCCAGAGTCCTTTGACGTATGCATTGATTCATTCATTAGAAGCTTTCTACATTCTGCACCCGGGATTGCCATGACTCTCCTCCGGATGACAGATGGTGAGGTTGTGCTTGGGCAGTAACTATTCTGAGAGTTCCAAATGCGAACTGTAAAATCATCCGAAGAAGTTGCCATCTTCCCAACCTCAAAATGGGACCTATTAAAATTTGGAAACTGTTTAATCATTTGTCATGAAATATTTAAAACCGGCAGCATTAGGTTAGAAAGAAAAAAAAAATACCAATCCACTGCTGTAACTTCTCCGTCATGGCTTTTCAATATTACAGGATCTTCTTGAGGCTTGTTTACCTGGGTTGACATTGCCAACAAGGTCAGTCTCTAATCAAGACCAATATCAAGAGATCCTAAAAGAACAAATCTTACCTGCCAAATGTAGGCATTTCCATCGCTGGAACCACTGAGTATGTGAGCAGCATCAGGGCTAATAATTGACTGCAATTACATAATTGAAACCCAGACTTGTAAGTCGGCAGGAAATCAGTTGGCATGACAAACCGGGTTAGTGCAGTTTTAAACAGCAAGGCTTACCTTTACAAAAAAAGATTCAATCCGGCATCCACTGAAAGATTGCATAGGACCCTTTTGTAGCTGAAGTACATTGTACAAATATATTCTGAAAGAAAACATAGGGAAAAAAAGTGTGATCAGTTGAAAATTTGATAGTCTTTACAATATTAGTGTATTATATATTTAGTGCATGGTAACTGTCTAAGACTCCACAATAATACTGGGTTATTAAGCTAGGAACTACTAATCTGAAGGTTGTATGGTACTACAGGGTTATGTGCTGAATCCCATGGCTGCAATTTACAGGTAATGTTCCTTCGAGTACCCAATTCAGTTTACAACAAAAGATGCAAATCAGAGTAAAAAGTACCTGTTGTCCATACATGAGGCTGAAATAAACACTCCGTTTAAATCTTGGGATAAGCTAGTTATACCATGTAATCTTCTTTCCTGAAATGAAGAGGATCGCTAGCTGTCAAGACATCATCAATATGCTACTTTACCACAAAGGAAAAAAAAACATACACGCACACCCAATATGACTAGATCTCCAGCTATTGCTGTCCACCCCATATCATCAAGGTGGACATTAAGGCTCAGTTCATCTTTATAGCTCAATACAATCTTCACGGGTTAAGTACATACGACATTTAACCAGTGACAAATTAGCACCATCATATACTTCCAGACTAACCTTCTCAGTAGACTCTAGGTGAGGGGATGTCTGTGTGACCACATTTTTCAAACTTCTAGTATCCCAAAACTTGACAATGCTGAAATGAAGCATAAGATCAAATCAAACAATAATCTCATATCACTTGGTATGACATAATGTCTGAGTAAGAAATTTAGGATTCAATTCTGCCATTTCACTGCCACTGTTCCGTATATACCTGTCCACAGCTCCAGCAGTAGCAATGGAAACCTCATCTTTAAGATAAAGAACTGATGTGATGCTCATGGAAGCAGCCTGAAAAAGCTAAGTCTGAGTAAAGAGTATGTAACAAATTTAATAAGAACTATTATCAGAAACAAACCTTTCCGCGCCTTAAACGCTTTGCCCGTGGAAAAAGATGAGCCCCTTTAACCACAGCAGTTGAGCTGCATGAAAATATTATAAATTTATTTTGGAAAACAGAAAACAAACTTATCCCGATTCTCGAAAATGAAAATAGCTTTACATGAAATAATTTACCATATTGCAATCTCCCCGTGAATATTTTTGGAGCTTGAATTACATCTCATATCCCAAAGAGCAAAGGAGCCATCTCTCGAACCAGAGACAATAATCTCTGTCAGATAAGAAGAATCAGTGGTGTAAATTAGTTGTATTTCTCATTAGTTATTTCACAAATATGGCATAAGAGAAAATTAGTACAAAAACCCACAACAGATGAAAATCTAAACCTACCAGGATTAGTTGGATGAGGACAGAGAGATTTCACACTTCCTGTGTGCCCCATCAGTATTGCAGTACATTTCTTTTCCTGAATATCCCATACCTTGATCTGGAGGAAGATAAAAAGGCCAAGGAAAACACAATCAATAAGAAACTGAACTAGCTGTGATATGAAGGACAATTATGTAAATATAACCTTCCTTATACCAAATTTCATAGGTTTATTTACAGAGTTATCTGTTACTTAAAAGTTATAGCACATTGTAGTAAGAGCTTATTCCTAATAAATTCAATCCAATTTTCTAAAATCCTCTAAGGAAGATGAAAGCACTGCTATGATCACAAAACCTACACAGTATCCAGGCAGGACTAGAACTTAATAACTTACAGTTTGATCACCAGAAGCTGTCATAATTTGAGAATCATCCTGCAAAACCACATGTATTGCAATTAGCTCTAAAAAAAAATATGAAAAACTTAAATTGGATGCAAAAACACACAACAATCTTAAATTTGATTCTCCCACTTATCTGTTATGCTTTCATAACAATGCCAATGGCATAAACACAGGACCCCATCGTTTAACCCTTTTTACTTGATCATAACCAAAAGTACTTTAAAAACAGTTGACCTTTTGATTAGTTCAAGATTAGCAGCAAGATAAGTTCCCAATTTCTAATTGTGCATTGAAAGTGCCCTGTTCGGCTTGTATTAGGAAATACATATAAATTCTACTCCACAGTAATTTTTCCTTCACCATCTGACCACTCAAATAACTTTTGTGTATAACATAATTGAAATTTTTTACACTTGAAGAATACTGGAATAATAATTCCACATTAAACAAGAGAGGGAAAAGATGTGGTTAATACCTTAATCCAACAGACGTCAAACACAGCATTTTGATGTGCAACCCAATCACACACCTTAGTTTTATCTGAAAACCAATAACCCAAAGATTTATTTACTTAAAATACAACAAAAACAACAGCAATCAATGATCTATGGGGGTGATTGATTTGATTTCCAAGTAACCAACCTGCATTTTCTTGGAAAGATGCGGATGCAGAGAACTTGCGACGTGTATCGAACAAGCTCAAGTACCCATCTTCGTCTGACATTGCGACAATGTGAGAGTTTTTACACGTCTGCACAAAAAGAAAAATAAAAATAAAAAGAAAGAAAAATGCGATTCACGAATCGGAAAGGCTCCATCAGCAGATTTTGTACCTTGCCAAACGAAATCGCCATTGGAGGGCCGTTGTGTTCTGCAGCAATGGCCCCAATTTCATAGAAATCTGATGCCAGGCCATTGATGTACGGTCTCTTTGGAGCTGGAAAAACACAACATATGATAATCGTAAGATACCCAAACAGATTGATTATATCAGACCCCATAAAAGAGATTATGAACTGTAAATTTATAGAGCCAACCTCTGAATCCATGTAGCTCTCTGGATCTGATGTCCTGGAAGAACGATTGGGGCTTTGAGATGTCCATCGGAATTTTTTTGACGAACGTTGAACGTAGCAGAGCACAGAGCTGCCAAAGAGGGAACTGGCAACTGGGAGGAAACCAAGGAAATCAAGAATAAGGGCTTCTCTCTTTTTTTTGTTCATTTTCTTTATTTGTTTTTCGGGCAATGGCGCGAGTGTGAAGTTTGGCGGGAAATTGAATTTGGTGTTTAATTCTGAAAGTTTGGCGGACACCGGCTGGCGCGAAGAGGGTTCCGATGTTTGCCCTTTTTTTAATCTCCCTCCCCTGCCTTTATGTTTTTTAAATTTTTTTTTTTTTTTCGGTAGGATTAGGGTTTAGTGCTAATTACCGCTTTTTGGCATAATTACTGCTAATTAAATTAGCTGAATCTTGGGGAAAAAAAAAACTACATTTGGTTAACTTATGTAATTTTGTTTGTGCAAGTTAACAACATCTCCAACCGATAAGTCAAATTGCCACATGGACATGAAATGGCAAAAATTGAAAGTTAAAATTGCTCAAACCGAGTAATCAAATCCTACATGAATTTAAAGACTGGAAGAGACATGTCAAAAATAACATATTAGAGCATCTCCAACCGATATGTCAAAAGTGCCACATAGACATTTAACAGTTAGAAATAACATCTTACACACTCCAA